ACGAACACATTTTCAGTTATTTTAGAAAATGTCTTAGACCCTTCAGTGGATATAATGTGAAGCAATGGGGTCCACCTCCTTCAAGTCCCAAAATGTGCATATATCCTTCACAGAAGTAATCCATCCGGCTCCAGGGGGATAAACGAAGGCCTTATGAGGGTAATCCGTGCGGTTTTGTCGTAAAAATATACATATTTAAAACTTTATAAATAAAAATATCTGACTTCCGGCAACGATCGACGCGCGTCCACGGGTGATGGAAGTCGGCGTACGAGGTAGGACGTAGCGTCGTGACGTAGAACGAACGCGCCCGCGCAGCCAGAGAGCTATGCAGAGAGCAGAGCAAAACATCACCCGTGAACGCGCGTCGATCGTTGCCGGAAGTCAGATATTTTCATTTATAAAGTTTTAAATATGTATATTTTTACGACAAAACCGCACGGATTACCCTCATAAGGCCTTCGTTTATCCCCCTGGAGCCGGATGGATGACTTCTGTGAAGGATATATGCACATTTTGGGACTTGAAGGATGTGGACCCCATTGCTTCACATTATATCCACTGAAGGGTCTAAGACATTTTCTAAAATAACTGAAAATGTGTTCGTCTGAAACAAGATTGACATATGCATCTCGAACGGCTTGAGGGTGAGTAATGCATGGTTTAAATATAATTTTTGGCCGAACTATCCCTTTAATTACAGATCAAAAGCAACAACAACAAAAAAAACTCTGCTCAAATCTTCTCTTGACTGAATACCTTCTTTAGCTTTAATAAGGATTAATATAGGCTACATTTAATTTATACATTATAGTATTTTGTTCCTGAATACTGTTAGACCTATACGAAATGTTTATTTAATTTGTATCTTTATTCTATTGTATTTATTTGAGCTATTGCTTGTAATTTGTTCATAAGTTCTTATTTTATTACTGACTGTTTACTGTCTTTATTTAACATTATTTATTAAAATACTATTTATTTATTTTTGTGGTGGGGCCAGTGAAAATGTTGGCAGGGCAAGCAACCAGTAAACTCCTTAGCGTTGAGCCCTGTGTGTTTATATACACTTTAAAGACCTATTCCTTTTGTTATAAAATGTCACTTGGCCCAAAGCTGGAGCCGGGCCTGGTACACAGAAAAAAGTAGTGGGTACCTTGAAGCTGAAATTTTGTTGTCACAAAAACGACAAAAAAAGTAATTTAGATAAGATGTCCTGCTTCCATTTGTACACCGGTGCCACATTCATCCGCACAGAGCAGCAGCCTCAAAGCATAGCCAAAACAATGTTTTTCCACAAGACACATGCTGTACAGTGTGCTTTTTTATTTTTAAGTGCTAGACGGTCAAACAAGTGCTATTTGTCGTATATAATACTGTTCATTCATATAGAACAGAAATAGAACCAATTCAAGGCTTGTATTAATTATGTTACAAATGCTATTACACACTATTTGACATAAACCTGAAAGCATGCATGACAATCGAATTCCATCAAGGTGTTACCGCTGTAAACTGCTCACATAGCGGGATTTAAATTTTGCCTGTTGGCTGATACAAGGGCATCTGTCATCTGCTCATCTCAGAGCAGCACTCATGTCAGTCTCCTGTGGTATCACACCCAAGAGCAACATCACGAGGTGTAAGATGAGGAGATGCCCGCGGGACAGCAGGAGCAGCAGATCAAATGAGCCTCATTTTGTGGGACCACTGTCACCATGCAATGAATGACAGACAAAACTAAACAATAATAATTCAACAAAAGGCCAGGTAATGCAAAGATGGAGAGGAAGTTGCTGTCACTAAACAAAGCGAACCACAAGATGTGAGATAAACGTAATTCAAAGTATGTGCAAAATATAGGCTTGATAAAGTTAATGGTGAACCAGATTCTAGATAGGCCTACACACATTTCTGTATGGATTAAAAATAGTCTGACAGTTGATTGCGAACCTCCATCATAAAATCTGCATCAGACCACAGTACTAGATTACCAAACTCATTATCATTCATGTCATGACCAAACTGAAGTGATTTGTGTAGTCTAGTATTTTCTACCCCAGAGACTGCTTTCAAAGTGTATTCAATACATTTTATCAGTATCATTGCTGTATTTAGCACCATGCATTAACCAGTTTGAATTTGCATTTTACATTCAGGGTGTATTCTTTAGATATTTGTGTTTCACAAGCAGAAATTGACTACTGGCCAGTTCTCCCTTCAGCCATCTAACTTTAGCACATCCTATTTTTATTGCATCCATCATTTATTGCACAGGCATATGGGAAGAATGGAGCTCTGCTCTGAATACGGTTAATGGATCCTGAATGAAGAACTTCCTGCACTGCCGATGGGGTCAAGCTTTTGATGGGTCCGCTGGCTATTCTTTGGCTTAACAGTGCAAAGAGTATCTTAAGTGCCAGGTAAGACAACAGTTCATAGAGGCTGTGATGCTTCATCAAAGAGAATTTACACAGATACTATTTAATAGCCTGGGACCACATTCTGAAGATAAAGACATATCCCATGTGTTTTAAATTGATGGGTGTCCATGAGAAACTCTGCCATTAGTGCTTTAACACAAAGAGCAAATGCAGGGGGGAGTAAAGCTAATGGAGGTTGCAGCTCAAAAGAATCAAGACCGTAGCAGCCTAATTCTACATTCTACATTCACAACATTTCTGCATTTATTTTGGCCTTAAGTGGTTTGCCTGTGGCCCTGAGAACAGCATAACTGAGCATCTCCAGCCAGGTGAATGCAGGTCAAATCATACACCCAAGTGCACAACGTAGCATTGTATATTGTGATTTTATATATTTAAATGGACACAATTATAGGTATTATAATATTTTCACATGCATTACATATTCACAAAATACTACAATACAACAGGAATATTCCTGACATGAAGGATTTTTTCACTAAAATATCTGTAATTGACAAAAACTACAAGTATGGCAGAATTTAAAGAACATCTGTAGACACAAGAGTATTATTGTCTAAATTATAGACTAGTGATAGAACCATTTCTGCTGCCAGACTCTACCGATCTGCTGCGTGAAATGTGAATTACAGAGGAGTTAAATTCATGTCCAGACTCAGGATCTGAGCAAACAGCGCCCCCTTCCGTTTAACTAATTGACTCTGTATAAAAATTGACTCAATATGGTAGATCCAGAATCGTAACGTAAACAAAAATGTAGATGCAGAATACCAGACTGTGTAGGCTACATGTACACAAAAACGGAATTATATATACCTTACTATCATAACAAAAATATCTACTAACAAAGTGTGTAACGTGACGTTACGTGCATGTCGTCGAATGGGAACTAGTGTTGCTTCATGAATGAATCTTTTAAGTGAACGAATGGGTGTTTTGAACAAATCTTTCATGTGAACAAATCGTTCTCGTTCACTTCAATCCTTATTTGTTCCCCATTGAAGTTTTTACCTTTTAAAGCGTGTGATTGCTTTGGTAATATTATTGTCTTCAAGACATGCCACATGCAGACAAAAGACTTAAATAAGACTTGCTGAACGACTCGGCGTTGAATCAGTTGAGCAAATCAAGTAGGCCTACATCACTCAATACGGTGCACCCTGCAGAATTCAAAAGATTCGACTCGCTAAGATGAATCAAAATCCCCACAACTATAGTAAATGGCTGACGTTAAACTCTTAAAGTGACTTGAAAAATACCCAATAAAAATCATGATTTAACCATATTGTTCTGATCGTCTTCTTGAATATTCAATAATCAGTTGCCGTTTCCAGGAACTTGTTGTTGTGTCAATTCCCGACAATGAAGCGTATTTGCACTTCCGCAATACATTTCCCACAATCCCTTTGTATGTGAGCCTGGGCGTGTGAGAGAAAGATTAAAATTGGACCATCTGCAGACTTTGATTTAGCATCAATGGTGAGAACCTACATTGTTTGTCTAAATAGACATGCGATATGTATCTTGTCAGCTTGTCTTTTCTATAGCAGAGCTAGAGGTCTATCTTACTACATTTCGTAAAGCTAAATCCGATGTTTTATTAAAGCTGTTCGAAAAACCAACTTCGTCAGCTAGCCAACACAGCTAGCCAGCCCACTTTAGGCATGCGAATCACTAGTACATCATCAAACGTACGTGCTTGCTTGTCTTTTAACATGTTTGCTGTTGTTAATATAGTGTAGTAAGCATATTATGTGTTTTATTACCGTTTAATCCGATACTTAAAATACATTGTCCCATTTTTCGCAATCACCCGCTAACACAATCTTGGCTGTGAATCAAAACAGTTAGCTGTCTAGTACAACAGCATTTTTTGTGATTGCACCATTCTGAATCTCACCAATTTCTAGACATAAAGAAAACTAAAGCATTAATGCTGTGTCAGTTGTCATTTCTGTTCTGCTGACATACAGTCTCCGTCATTGTTAATTTTGACAGATGAAACGCTTTGATTTGTTTTGACACTGTTGTCGGGAAATGTGTCTGATTGTCTTCACAGCTTTATATATATATATATATATATATATATATATATATATATATATATATATATATATATATATATATATATATATATATATATATATGCAAAACGAGAATCGGTAGTTGACGGAAAAAGTGTCTATGAATACTTGCAATTTAAAATAATGTCAAGATAATAGGCTATATGTATATCTTAGGTTCTGTACCAGGTCACCATTTCTTAAACGTTTTTCACCATTTTAATCACATTTTACTACAAGTTTATTTGAAATGATCCTGTGGTTATACAAAAAAAGAAGAAGGTATTCCATGTAGTATCTAAATAGAAAAAAAATAAGCACAGTGCTGTTTACAATAGTATTAGAAGTGTAGTATATCACAGACATGCCTATGTACTATAATATTTGAAAGTGAAAAGTTTCATAACAAAATATATTATATGTAATAATATGATATTTTCCCCCTTTTATCTACAGGCTGCAGCAGATCTTTTCTACAGGGCTTTGCTGTATTATGAGCTGTAGTAAACCGTCACACTTTGATTCGGTTCTCAGAAGGATCTGTGGCAGGTGCCACTATCACTGTAACCTCACCTGACATCAGCAACTGGGTAAGAGCGTGATGTGTCCTTGCGTTTGAGTTATGTGAAGACTTCAGTGGCAAAAAATCTCATTGTTTTCTTCTTTCATAATCTTTCTATGCAGGCCAAAATGGAAGCTAGTTTTGGATCCACGTTTCCAGCAGTCCCTCAAGTAGCAAAAGGTCAGCATTATCTTTTGGACTACTTGGAGTCAGATTAAAGGCATTTAAAATATATATACATTGCGGGGGGAAAAATTAGGCAAACATTTTAAGTGGTCCTCAGGGAAACAAAATATAAAAAAAATGATGTATGGTACAGCTGTTTTAAATTTCCTAAAAATAAATAAGATTATCAAATTGACTAACATTGACATTTTGAGTGTCGTACCTCAAACCACTATGAAAGTAATTACTGGTGTTAAAAATGACCTAGATCAGCATTGATTGGGCATTTCCACATGAGCATTTGCCTAGCAACAAGGTTCAGTCAGTCGCTTGTAACTGTGCTCTTTCTTTTCAGCGGAAACCAATTACAAACAGCATCGTAGAACCCCTTCATCCACCAGCACTCTGACCTACTCGCCTCGTGACGACGATGATGGCATGGTAATCACAACGCCATCTCATTTCAAAACAGCCAATCACATTTACATATTGAGGAATGGAAATCAAAACCCTCTCAATTTTGTCATTGCTGACGTGCATCACAGTGGGCTTTTGGGTTAGCTGATTTGCCGTTTGTGCAGTTCTTAGTTTTTGATAAATGCATCTGATAAATTATCCTGCTGTGTTTTAGTTTCTGATTATTTTTAGACTGTTTATGAGTGGCTATGTATATTGTTTAGTTTTTCCCAGACACCATAGTGTTGTTTTTCCACCAAATGTAAGTGAATCAGAAGACATTGAGGTGCTTTCCTCCTTTCAATCGTTTTGCACATTCACAGGAAAGCCCGCCCATTTATGAGAAGCAGGAAGTAGTTAAATCATTTTTTTTTTTTTTAAGGACCATATCCAGCATCATAACCTGTTGTTTGTTGTACAGATTTTTTTTTTTACTACTGATGATTTTGGTGACGCATCTTTCTTTGTAGAGTGGGATTTTGGGAAGAGGGGGCATGCTTTTTGTAATGCCAAGGTGTGTATTCCAGAAAACAGGGTTAACTTACTGTCACATAACTCTCGGTTGATTCACCCAAACCTTTCTTGCGATTATCTGTTCCATAAATGCAACCATAAGTAATTTCAGTAAACTCAGAGTATGTTCATGGTGAAAACAAACACTGCGTCCAAAATCGAGTACGGAGTAGGTAGGTACTACATTTGAATTTGAATTTATGGTGCGTTTAATGGTGCGTTCACGTGCTATGGAAAATATGATATTTTCCACTTGTGAACTGGTATTTACCAGTGTGTTGCGTTCAAGTGCTTTTGTTGTCGTAATGTTGTAAAAAGATGGAGATCCAGACCTGTTATTTAGCTAAAACTATTTTAAATTGCTTAAGTCATCTGCTACAGCAAGAAAATGATTTATCAAAACTCAAACGGTAAATAATATGCTGTATATTTTCTAGATCATGAATAGTACATATTTTTACCATTCACAACTCTCGCGTTGCTCTCCACCATTTTGAAAAGGTCAAAGGATATCTCATCTCGGCAACTCGTGCATCAAAATATTCTACGAGCTGCCCAGTGGAAAATACCACATGAGGGGGTGTTCATGTGCATTTTCCACGTTGGCTTTTGGTAGTTACCATAATTACCATAGCACGTGAACGCACCATTAGTCCTCCTGGGAAGTTCATATTTACGAGGTGGGTCGTGTTACGACGGCAGGTGAGATCAAATCACTTTTGTCAGAGTAAGATGGCGGTGTACTTTGTCTCAATTAATTACACAAAAATACAGCAAGGTTCTTTAAGGGATAGTTCACTTTGAAATGAATTTTTGGTATGTTTTAGCTTACCTCAAGGGCAACCAAGATGTAGGTGTCTTTGTTTCCGCAGTAGTTTCAATTTTGATATTTTTAGGTCAAACCGTTCTTGTCTGTCAGTCATATAATGCAGGTCTATGGTAACTTCCTCAAAGAGCATGCACAGAGAAGTCCAAATTAAACAGGCCATCAATGTGTACTTACATTTACGAGTCATTAAATCATAAGACACGAAACGAGCGGTTTGTGTGAGAAAACGAACAGTATTTATATCGTTTTTACCTCTTGTAAACACAGCCACGTCCAAGTGATCTGAGGGCGCGGGCGTTTCGGTCTTTTCCGGCAAGCGCCGGAAAGCGCCGGAAGTGATCTCTCGCGCGTGTACGTCACTCATTGTTTACACAGAACAGAGATTGTAGGTAAGACGGCTAATTAAAATTGATACTAATTTGCGCTTATCCGGGATGTTTAAACCGTCGTAAAAGAAAACAATAAAAACAATAAAAAAATAAAACAATTGTATGAGTGACGTACACGCGCAAGAGATCACTTCCGGTGCTTTCCGGCGCTTGCCGGAAAAGACCGAAGCGCCCGCGCCCTCAGATCACTTGGACGTGGCTGTGTTTACAAGAGGTAAAAACTATATAAATACTGTTCGTTTTCTCACACAAACCGCTCGTTTCGTGTCTTAGGCCATCAGTGTGTACTTACATTTACGAGTCATTAAATCATGTTTAATTTGGACTTCCTCTTTGAGGAAGTTACCATAGACCTGCATTATATGACTGACAGACAAGAACGGTTTGACCTAAAAATATCAAAATTGAAACTACTGCGGAAACAAAGACACCTACATCTTGGATGCCCTTGAGGTAAGCTAAAACATACCAAAAATTAATTTCAAAGTGAACTATCTCTTTAAAGTCCCACTCCGATCATATTTTGAGCTATTTGTAAACATTACCAGTGGTCTTTAAATTATGATTATGCCATTTTTAGCCAAACTCACAAAACCTGTGCCGTTTTCTGGGACTTTGCTTCAGCAGAGCAGCAGCAGCTCATTAGCAATTCGCCTCTGCGTTGTGGGCGGAGCCGTTGGCACGGAGATGACCCTCCCCCTGCCCGTTGCTGAGAGCTCTGTCTCTCCCGCTAGCTTACACCCCCAACCTGTCATTACCGGTGCAACAAAAATTGAGAGCAATATTGGAGCTATCCAGCCGTACAGTGCGTTTTCGTTTTAAAACGCATAACTTTTGCAACGATTATGCGCTCCTGCCGTCCACATTACTGACCCTCGGCCTCGAAAACGGAGACTGACCCCTTCAGTCGAGTCCGATGCAAGACACGCAAGTGACGCAACCCATAGCAACGAGTCATGGCAACGACAGCTCAAACCGACAGAAACATACAAGTAAACGTGAATTTTGTCACATTGTCATGTTAATTATAATCAAATGCATTTTGTTTTATTGAAAACAATATTATCATTGATATTTGTTTGAGAGGGGCACTTTCGATTAATTTTAACAAGCTTGTGGCCCCGCCCAGTGGAGTTACTACGTCACAACTCCAGTCTATTTTGAACGGCATTTTAGCGTCTGCTACTGATTCACAGCCATTTGAATGTAGAAATACTCAGAAATACAACTTTGAGCTTATTTTTCTCAAGATATGTCCTCTAACATAAGAAAAATGCCACAAGAACATGTTAACACCTAGAAAAACATTATTTTCATCGGAGTGGGTCTTTAAACTCTACTTCTAGAAAATGAAGAACAAAGAAATGGGCATCAGGTGTGTTTTGCTTTTTTAGGTTTTAAATTAATTTATGAAACCACTGTAAACTTTATCGTTACATATTATAATGCTATCATATTTTCTGCAGGCAATTAGCTTACTTCGCTGTAAATAGAAAAGCCTGACAATATCACTGCTAAAATACCTTTAAGTATTGTGGTATTCCGCCATGTTTCTCACTCGTAGAGATCAGGGCTTAATGAAAATCCTGAGCTTTCCACTCGTTGAACGCCACCACAACGATCTTTACGACATGACTTGAATGCACCAATACTTTGCGACCTTTAAAAAAGTATGTTCTTATATAGAGTGAGAATATGGGTAATATGAATGCAATTCGGATGTACTACAGTCAGCATGTTGTTACGGTCACTTGACCTACCAGAATCAGTTGCGTCGCTTCTCTTCCATTCATAAATCCTCTCACCCCATGGGAGAGTAAAGTGTCTATCGAAAGCACTCTTCAGAATCTCGGCAAGTAGTAGGTCATCCGGTGACTGAAGCCTCATCAATTGGGCAAGTATATACAGGTGAAACTCGAAAAATTAGAATATCGTGCAAAAGTTTATTTATTTCAGTAATTCAACTTAAAAGGTGAAACTAATATATTATATAGACTCATTACATGCAAAGTGAGATATTTCAAGCCTTTATTTGTTATAATTTTGATGATTATGGCTTACAGCTTATGAAAACTTGGGGTTTTGGGGTTCCGAAGCAGGCTATGTTCAGAGAATAAGTTGCTTTGGCTACTTATATACCCTTTAAGTTACCTCAGTTTTTGGAAGTTAAGTTAATCTTTTTACTTATCTGTACACTTACCCGGATGTGTCACATAATCTGCTTTATGGAGTACCCTCCAGATGTCATTCAAAAAACAAACAAAAAAGCACCAAAAAAACAAATAAACTGACTCTGTCCCTGCAGCCGCCCATCAGTACCCCTCGTCGCTCAGACTCTGCCATCTCGATTCGCTCCCTGCACTCCGAGTCCAACATGTCATTGCGCTCCACCTTTTCCCTGCACGAGGAAGAGGAAGACACAGTGAGTGTCAGCAATCTTCGGTTTCCTTTTCACATGTTGATCTAGCGTGGTGACGCGAAAAAGGCTGACAGACATGCACCTTTGCCCAGCAGGAGATTGACTTTCTCTTGCTCTTTTCTTACCCAGGAGCCGCTGGTGTTTGCAGAGCAGCCCTCAGTTAAGCTTTGTTGCCAGCTGTGCTGCAGCGTGTTCAAGGACCCCGTCATCACGACCTGTGGAGTGAGTCAGCCAGTCGTCCCCTCACCTCTCCCTCAGGATAGGGCTATCGTTCATGATCTGGTTTCAGGCCATGTATTGATTTCCTGTCAGTTTGGGCCGTGAACAGCACGCCTCATTGACCCGTTTCCTACCACACTGTCAGGCTGTTGAACACCATAATACAAGTGTCTGTTGAGAGATAGCTTAAAATAGCTGAGTAAATGAAAAAGTAAAATTCAGCTCTTCTTCACTCTCATTGTGCTCTCTTCCTCTGTCACCTCAGCACACATTCTGCAGGCGATGTGCCTTGACCTCAGGTAAGCATAGCATTTTTATTCTACGCATTTGTCTTGCTTTCACCTTTCCCATGATGACTGTTAGTACAGAGAGGGCTCAACACAATTTACACAATTACAATTAAAATTACAGTTGGCCAGTACCTTTATTGGGAACCTTAACATCAGTTGAATGAACAATAGTTGAAGAGAAGTGGTGCGCTGATGTGAGTGATTCAAACAAAAGGTGTAACTGGGAGTGTCGTAATATGATTCATTCAATGATGTGATTCATTTGCCAAAAAAGGTGGAAACACAAAATAAACAAAGTTAAAGATGAATTTGACTGATAGCGTTACGTTGTTTTGGTCTTTAGATTTTTATATATATAGTGATAATATCATTATCATGAATTCTTTTGGCCACGATAATCGTGTATTGAAATTGTAATATTGTAACTGTCTACAATATTATACAAACTGTCTACTACAGAAAATATTTATTCACAATATTTTTTTCCATCTAGAGCTCAAATGTCTTGACTTTTTTGTGAGGTTAATCATTTTATTAGCCTGGGAAAACCCAGACAACTTCCGGCAAATTTGCTCTGCAAGTTAGTCTGGCAAAGAGCTCATTCAAGCCCATTTCTAATCCGTCGAAATCGCGGCACCAATCAGAAACGTTGGGGCGGGCTTTACACGACGACGACAGCACAGCGACGGTGAAGCAGATTTTGTACCTTTTGTACATTTACAAAGATGGATGCCGCCGTGGAACTAGGGGTGTGACGGTTATAGTTGAACACCGTCATTAGAACTCTATAACCGCCAAAACATGTTATTAAAATATTTTTTTAGAGAATGTTTAAATACTAATATCAGCTTACAAGGGAAACAGAGGCGGAGTTAGTGGTGCTTCGGAGGCTGCTACTGCTGGAGATGATTCAGGAGAGGTCTGTGCACCCCCCCTCCCAAGAAGAGAAATCTTGGAGATCTCCTTAATAAACGGAGGTCTGAAATCTCTGCCCCTTTACCGATCAGAGCGCGCGCTGACACGGAGTAAAGCCTTGTTTATACTCGACGCGTCCGCACGAGCGCGAAGGTGCGCGCGGCAAAAATGTCGCGTTTGGTGCGCAAGACCGGCAAGACCCCATTTCGCTTGGCTGTGTGCATGGCTTTTTTGAAACGGCGCGCACGGCGGCGCATCCGAGGATGAACGACTTAAAGCCGAATCTGCCCAAGCATGTACGTCTCATCACCGCACCAGCACCCAGTTTGCGCGTCGGTTTTGTTTACTGTGTGTGATTTATTTAATGGAAAGCACATTCACTTCTAGTTGTCTTGCTGTTAATTTTAAATAAACGTAGAGCTAATCAGTGTCTGCTCGTTTATTCAAGTTGTTCGCGCATAAGTCATCTCCTTCATCGCTCTGATTGGTTTTAGGTCTATCCAATTGCGCCCAGAGGCATTTGAGCTACGTCCGTTGGTGACGCCCCTTTGGAAATGATTTGCCTATGAAGCTTTGCCAGACCATAACTCAGTTAGAACTGAGAATGGTCTGGTTTTAACCAGGCTATAATTTTATGGTCACAGAGACAAAAATATAAATATGAAAAATAATGCAAAAAAACCTTTACATAGCTGATTAGAAATATTAACATTTCAGGTTTTATTTTATTTTTAATACATTTGATACAAAATTGATTGATGATACAAAGTTATCAAAAATCTGTTTTTGTTTTGCCATTAATCAAGCATGGAGTGCAGATTGATGTTAAAAAATAAATTTAGAGCATTTTAGCATAGGGCTGCAAGATAACAAAATGTGAAAAAATAAGGGGTCTGAATATTTATTTACAATTTCTAAATTTGCTTGCCATTAGCAGGAGTGGCCTTAAGTTAATTTTGGATGAGTGCAGGTCTCTAGCTCTGTTCCTGTTTCATTTCCTCTCCATGCTGAATCTGTAATTTCACGCTCTTGATTTGAGAAATGTTTTAACATAGGGTAACTATTTTGTTTTGCCAATAACGTTGTGGTTCCACAGATAAATGCCCGGTGGACAACTCCAAGCTAACAGTGGTAGTGAATAACATAGCGGTGGCTGAGCAAATTGGTGAGCTTTTCATCCACTGCAAGTACGGCTGTCGGCCAGCTGCCTCAGGCAAGCCCGGTGCCTTTGAGGTTGACCCACTTGGTTGTCCTTTCACCATCAAGCTAAGCACCAGGAAGTGAGTATGCAGGTTCATTTCCTTTCACAATGTCAGCGTTTGATTTCTGTTTTTGTGACATAGTCATGCAAAGGGGGTTTAATTAGACTGTATTGTGTGTGTGTGTGGCAGAGATCATGAAGTAAGCTGTGACTACAGACCTGTTCGCTGTCCCAACAACCCAAACTGCCCTCCACTGCTCACCATGAACCTGGAGGCCCATTTGAAAGAGTGTGAACACATCAAGTGCCCTCATTCTAAATATGGGTATGGAAGTTTGAAAAGGCTAACATTCTTTCCTTCAGTTCCATAGATGATGTTACACATAATAAGGAAATAAAACAACATTGAATTTATCACTGCTGACTTTTCTCCAGTTGCACCTTTATTGGGAATCAGGATACATATGAGACGCACCTGGAGGTGTGTAAGTTCGAGGGGCTGAAGGAGTTTCTCCAGCAGACTGATGACCGATTCCATGAGATGCAGGTGACACTGGCGCAGAAGGACCAGGACATCTCGTTCCTGCGCTCCATGCTGGGCAAACTCTCTGAGAAACTAGACCAGCTGGAGAAGAACTTGGAGCTCAAGTTCGGTGAGGAAACACAGCTAATTCTTAACCGCTTACTGTTTTTAACCCAAAAGATGCATGAACGTTCAAATTGTTGTTGTTTTCTTGTGCTAATGTGGCAGATGTGCTGGATGAGAATCAGAGCAAGCTCAGTGAAGATCTAATGGAGTTCCGACGAGATGCTTCCATGCTGAATGTTGGTCTATTTTCGCCTTGTTTTACCAAATTGAGACGTACAGTTTTGGTGTTCACAGTATTAAGAGCTTTCTAACTCATCCCTTCTTTTTGCAGGATGAACTGTCCCACATCAATGCCAGGCTCAATATGGGTATACTGGGCTGTAAGTGTCTCGTTCTCATTTATACTCCTAATTTCTTTGAATATAATGAAATATGTCATCATCTGACTGTATGAAATGTTTTGCAGCTTATGACCCGCAGCAGATCTTCAAATGCAAGGGTACATTTGTGGGCCACCAGGGTCCGGTGTGGTGTCTGTGTGTGTATTCTACCGGTGATCTTCTCTTTAGTGGGTCATCAGATAAGTCCATCAAGGTAATTCCACCTGCCATCAGCAAGCTGTCCCTTTGGTTTCTGAGGATCCCTCTTCAACCAGAATAATTCTTCTGTACTTCTGTGCTCAACATAGGTTTGGGACACATGCACCACATACAAGTGCCAGAAGACCCTAGAGGGCCATGATGGCATAGTGTTGGCATTGTGCATTCAGGGGTAAGTATTTTGAGAATTTGGAGGAATACTTTTAGATTTTTCATAATCTTTAATCGAAATCTGAAACGACTTTTCCTTGCCAGTCAGTGTAGTGTATTAAATGTTACAGTGGACAGGAGATCTTATATATTCTTTTCTCATTTCTGCTGCAGGAACAAGCTGTACAGTGGCTCAGCTGATTGCACGATCATTGTGAGTGTTCCTGAAATGCATATTTCAGTTCATATCAGGCCTGTTCATGACTAGGGATGTGCGCCACGACCAATTTCATTAAAGTTTAAACTAGTGGTGCACGATATATCGGCTGCCGATATAATATCGGCCGATATGGTCAATTTTTTACACATCGGTATCGTTCCGATGTCAAAATAGGGCCGATGTGAACAGGCCGATAATCACTCCTGTGTATTTGACGTGTGTGTAGATGTGAGTGTGGGGGCGGGGATGTTTGTTTTTGCACGAGCGCATACAATACAAGCGCAAGTCCTGTCAGTTTAAACATCAAGCGCAAGAAGACTGGAACTTGCGCGCTGTTTTCTGTCAGCCTTACTAAGGCGTATTTTTGTCCCGCCAAAGCCTTATTTGACCGGTGAGTGATGTAGATGACTGACTGCTGCGCTTGTTTAACTGAGAGAACGAGCAGAGAGAGTGAAAGCCCTGGTCGCGCGCGCACGCCGACTTCAAGCTGTCTTGCTCTCTCTCTCTTCCTCTCTTGCGCATATTAATGAATTGAGTTGACTGAATATCTTTGAGAATACACGATGGTAAAAGGTCGGAAGACCGAAGTTTTTTTTTTTTGAACTACCACTGGTTGTGAATTGTGCTAAAATAATCTTCTCTGAAAAGCTTTCCACTCATTCAGATGACATAAACCACACTTTCAAAAAAAAAAAAAAAAAATCTATCTAGTGATGAAATGTTTTCTGTGTTGAGACAAATCTTGTGCGATGTCCTAAACTGCCTGGATAATCACACAACGTGTGCCATGGTCCGTTAATGACACGTCCGATTCGCGAACTAATGACTCCTTTGAACCGATTCACTTTAATGAATGGTTAAAACAACTGATCTGTCCAACACTGAACTCAAGAGACATAAATCGGAGACATAAATCGGAAACACTTTACAATAAGGTTCCATTTATTAAAGTCTAGTCTAGTTAACTACATTAGTTAACATTCTATTAATATTAGTTTCTATGCGGATTTACTCCATGACAAAACCAATCATTCTAGAATGATTCATTCTTTCCAAATTCAAGTCATCTGGTGAAATTGTTTTTATATCGCAGAAAAATAAAAAATCGCAATGTCATTTTGTACCAATATCGTGCGGCCCTAATCCTCGCTATGTGTTTTCTATACAGAGATATCGACATCGGTAAATATTGGTATCGGCCATAACAGCAATATTAATATCGGTTATCGGCATCGGCCGCAAATTTTCACATCGGTGCATCACTAGTTTAAACTAAAATTTTGCAACAGACTAGTCGACTAGTCTAACCCCCAACCTTACCCCGCCCCCCGAAGACAGTCTGTATATGCGATCCATTTGAAATTGGACAGTCAAATCCCATACTGAATGCTGCTAAAAATAGGTCAGATACATGCGATGTGCTTGCCTTGCATTATGATCATTGTATATTAAACTTAAGCAATTTTAGTGTTAGACACATTTATTTAAATCAATTGAACCAATAGGCAGCGCAGGACCAAAAAGTTCAAATCTATTAGCCTATTATAAACATATTTCATCAAATGAAAGTTAGTCCATATCAGTCAGCATGTTAAGGTATTGTTGTTCGTTACCACGGCATTTGCGTGGCAAGCGTTTGAACACGCTTTTTGTGTATGAAAAGTATCTGTACACATGACGGGCGGCAAAATCGCATCAAAAGCTTGATGTGTGCTGACAACTATACATTATTTAAGCGTATTCTCTTCGTTAGGGTGTTGATATAGCAACTGTTCAAGTGTCAAGTAACTTTCAGTTAATGTTTCTCCTTTAATCCGATATTAAATTTCATACTGTATTGTCTCTCATACCCGGTAGTAGCAAGCAGAATAGAAGAAAACGGAGAATTTTTTTGTAGGCTTTCAAAATACTCCCTTCACCTTGATCCACTTCCGAGTGGACTTTTCTCTGAACCCGCCGCAAGTGTCAGAGAGAAAAGAAAATCTGTTTTCTGCTCCAGAGATACACTTTAAAATAATATGTTAATTTTAAAATGTAACATTAAAATGACAGTAATTTAAACAGCTATTGTATAAAAAATATAAAGCAAAACATTAAATGTGCAACCAAAAAAAGTAAACGACTGTGAATCTAATGCAGATATGCACTTGCTCTTCCTCAGGTTTGGGATATCCAGACCCTGCAGAAAGTGAACACTATCCGGGCACATGACAACCCTGTGTGCACTCTGGTCTCCTCTCACAACATGCTCTTCAGCGGCTCTCTCAAAGCCATTAAGGTCAGTGGTGCCTGCTGAAGAGAAGATGTGCATGTCTGCAGACACGAGCCCGATCAAGCAGCTAATATTGAGCTTTATTCTGCCCCATTTGCTGATGTGCATGTTAGCTGTGTACGATTTTCTTAAAGTGATGTGGAGATACGATCGGTGCTCCAGCAGAGAAGAGAAAAGACTTGGGTTACTGAGGCACGAGTGGAGCAGAATTAGGTCCACTTGGCTCTGAGAGCTCGTCTGAAGAGCACATGCTGTGCTAATATCACCATGGTGATGTGTGGGAGGAATGAGGGAGTTGAGGCTTAACAGTAGATGATCTCATCTCTCTGGGACTTTCCAGTTTGCCAATTCTGGATGTTTTTTAAGTGTTGAAACATCTTTCTTTCTTTCTCTCTGTAGGTGTGGGATATTGTGGGCACTGAGCTGAAGCTAAAGAAGGAATTGACTGGCTTGAATCACTGGGTTCGAGCTCTGGTTGCTTCTCAGAATCATCTATACAGTGGATCTTATCAAACCATAAAGGTTAGAAGTGTTCAACTTTGAACTGCTTAAATAGAAAACAGCTCTGTCAGTTGCTTCAGGAATGCCCAGTCCATATAATAAAGGACAATATGCAGGTTGATTAATCCGATCCACGTCATCGGTATCGTGCCGATACTGTCCCAGAACGCTAGATCGGAGGGGAGAAAAAAATATGATCTGATACCTATCCAACACAAACCATGGGAAAATCTAGCTTAAACCATCGCCTAAATGCTTGAATATTAGCATTTCCCTTGCTGCGACATCCAGTTAAGCGCGCAGCCTGCAGATTGGGTGGTTTCCCGCCCAATTGGGCGGTTTTGCAATCTATTTTCTGGACTAGTTCCAGTAAATATCAAATTAAATATTACTGTGCAACTCTGAATGGCATTGGCTGGTCCAGCCTGGAAAATGCAGTTTTTATTTTGTCATGATTTGACCATTTAGAAACAATTTATGAGACAGTTGTCAGATTTTATTGGTGATTTCAAATATGAAATTTAATCAAAAGCTTTGGAGAATTTGATGTTTCTCTTGTAAGACTGGAAGAACTGGTTGAGGTTGATTTGAACTCCCCCTCGTGCACTATTGAGACGGAGGTCTCACCTCCCTCATCCTAATCTACATTTCTCCCCCTCATCCCCCATGCGAAGATCACCAAAAACTCACCCAAGTATCTAAATAGTTTAATGTGAATGATTATCATCGAGTATTATACATGTTTAATATCATTCGAAATGTCTCAGTGCGACTGGTACAAATGTCTAATTTCCAAATAAATAAAACAAAAGGTAATAAGGTTTTTAAGAGTTTAGGGATAACTGGCACACAAAGGAATGTGGTCTCTAGACAAAAGGTTTCCTATGCCCAAAAGGTGTAACTTCTGAATGCAAATATGCATTGTTAGCCTATATAATGAAATGCAGCAAGGGGCTCGGGGCCAGAGAGATAGAAACGGCACTTGCTTGACTGAAACAGCTGCCAGAGAGGTGTTTCAAAGATGGCCGCCGAGTAAAATGACTTGCCTTAAAGGGACCTAATGTACAGTACAATGTACTGTATATAAATATAACATTTTTAGTTTTATTAATTCAATGGATTAGACACTTTTTGAATTACAAAAATGTCTTAAAATGGAAATTGGGGGAATTTTTTTTTTTTTTACAATGGGTTGAAAACTTTTGAACAGGATCACTTGTGTAAATTCAGTTATTTGGTCTGTGTGGATGTATGCACGTTGTTTGTGTATTAGTTTTATGTCCGATGGCTTCATTAGGGCAGTACTGAATAAAACCTTTTTTTAATGAATCTCTATTCCTGTAACGGGTATACAGAACAGGTCTAAGTTCAGATTGGAAGCTGTTCTCAGGAATTCCTTTATTGTTCAGTCTAACTGGTAAAAACGAGAGCAACTCTCCGAGTTGTTTGTAAAACAGATAAGACCGATAAACCCGAGCTGCTTGTCTCAAGTTTTCTAATTAAGGCTCCAGAGATTGCAGGCAGGAAGCAGACTACAGGCAAATGTTCACAGAGAGAAAGAATGAACACGAACACGCTACTATAGAATACAACAGTGATCAAAGTTTAAGTCTTTAAGTTGTTTTAAGTAGAGAGTGTAGGGAGACCTACTCAGTTATTCCCCTGTTCCACTGAGTGGGTGGCTGCTGAGCTTTTTTGGCACTCTTCTCGTCTTCATGGTACCATGAAGTTCTCTGATTGGTTGGAATCTCCATTCTCTGATGGAGAATCTCTCTACAGCATTATGAGTAGTGTAGTTCTCCTCTAGTGATTTGGCTATTGATTTTTTTTTTTTTTTTTAAAGGCACACTGTGGAACTTTTCAACCTTTATAATATATTACCAAAACCCATTGAGATGGTACATCGACTTACAATAGGTTGAATGACACGTCTGCCGAAGCCTGAAGGTGTCTGTATCGCTTTTACTAGCACTATGTAACTTCGGGTTTCGGGTAGGAACCCGAGCACAAAAAGAACTACAAAATTCGACCGCTTTACGGCATACGTCACTTCCCCCACCACCCCAACTTCCTCAAATTCTAACGTGAGAGCTCAACTCGCGTTTGATTGCCGGCGTCTGTATGTTGTCGTCATGGCTGAATCAACAGCTACTCGGAAGAAAGCGAAGAAAGCAAAGATTTTGTCAGAGGAGACCAAAAAAAGAAAAAGGGAGAGTTTAAAATAAACATCGGCATAAAAGTGTATATATAATGTAATATTTACTGCGAATTCGTGTAACAAAACTGATATAAGTCAGTCACAACATACTGCCGTATACAAATTAAATGTAAATGTTTTTTTTCCTTTCAGCTCATATATGTTTGTATTTGTGTAAAAGGAAAAACAAACTGAAGACTACAAATAACGGAAATATGTAGTGAGTTATATCAGTTTTGTTACACGATTTCCCGACGACTCGATTTCATCTCCAACCCATTGCAAAGAGATCCTGAAGACGTTAATTGTTTGCTTCAGGTGTGTTTGATTAGGGTTGGAGATGAACTGTGCAGGACAGACGATCGGCAGGAGCAGGATTGATTAACCCTTGTCAATGCGACTTACCTGATCAGACATTGTTTTCTACTTTTATTAGGGCCCAAGCCCAAAGGGCGAAGGCCCTATTGTTTTCCTTAGGATTATTTATTATTATTATTATTATTATTATTCTTATTATTTTTCTGCTACCTTTTGGACACTTTTGGAGGCCTTAACATGCTCAAAAACTCCTGAAACTTTGCACACATGTCAGAACCCGCGGCCATCAGGGCCGGGCTGAAGATGGTACCCGGGCGTGGCAGGGGGGCTCGACAGCGCCCCCTGGAACGGGGTCCGAAAACATGGTCCATAAATCAAACACGCTTGCATGTAATAATATGAAACTCGGTACACATGTAGATCTCCTCGTTTCATATATACTTCACACTCTTACTTTTTACCCCAGCCCAACAGGAAGTCGGCTATTTAGGGTTGTTGGTAAAACACACGCAATGGAATGTGAAATACTCCTCCTAGAGAATTCAAACAAACGGCACGAAACTCGGTCAGCATGAAGTCAAGACATTGAGGATGAAAGTTTGCGAGGGGATTTTTGATATCTCGAACGGTTTGGCCGTGGCGAGGAAACAAAATTATGGCGAGAAACGTGAAACAGGAAGTGTGTCATAACTACTGCATACATTAACTGATCTTGATGAAACTTCAACAGTGTGTTCGTTGTAAGAGCCCGATCACATGGATGTGACTATTGTGAGTCAAAGTTATAGCGCCACCAACTGGCAGCAGGAAGTGTGTCACTTCCTAAATGCTTTGAAATCACCCTCTTATTTTTACCCGATTTGCTTCAAACTTTATGTGTATAATGTAAACACACGGCAGATGTAGACCTGTGAAAGGATTATTGATATCTTAGATACTGTTGCCGTGGCAACACATCAAACTTTAATATTCTTGTTTGATGCTTTTGAGACTCTTAGCATGCTTGAAATTGCATGAAACTCGACAGACACAGGTATGCATATGGTTCAGATCAAGCCGGACAACTTTCTAATTAACTGTCATTAGCTCAGACCAAGAGGAAGTTAGATATTTTGGTTTGAATGTGGATGTTTCTGAGAATTTTCTCTCCCTCTCCCTCTGACAGAGAGAATGCACCCTGCCATTCGTGTGTGTCTGTGTCTGTGTCTGTGTGGGGAGGGGGGGAGGGGCTCTTTTAGTTTAAACACAAAATTATACATAGGGCCATACTGCCCTCTTGTGTCCAAAATTATATTTATATATACATTATACATAATATGTATAATGTATATATAAATATAATTTTGGACACATACTACACTATATTTGGTATGTGACTGAGGACCGAGAGCTTTTAAATACGGGACATTGATAATGGCCACGTGCAGAGCGCTCGAGGGAATTCCTATGGAAGTAGGAATGAACTAAAAAACGTTCGCTCTGTTCTGCTCGCTCGTCGCCATGGACGCGCACCATTATGAATGCCAGTGCAGCCGCATACTTTTTAGTGTCACTTTAAAATTAGTGCAATAACGGGCCGATTGCTTGAATTGTGAGTTCAATAGTCTATTATTTTTCACGGAAAACACAACAACAAAAGAGTACAATGATAGATTCGCTTAAATAGGGGCTTTTACATAAAATAGCCTATTCCGTCATCATCTTTTCAGTCAGCTCTTCACTCTCGTGATTAATGAAATTTGACTCCTGTTGCTGATATTTGCTGCAACTTTCGTTCCGCTCACAATTTAGTAAGCAAACACGCTTCAAATGTGTTTTTATTTTATTTTTGTGTATATATATGTGTGTGTATATATATGTGTGTATATATATATATATATATATAGCTTATGTTTCAAATATGAGTTAATTAACAATCGTTGGAAAGAATGATACTTTTAATATCACTAAACCGTCATTAGGTGTCGCCAGGCGACCGTCTTAATGAGCGAGTCATTGATTCATTCGTTCAAACGATTCGTTCGAACGGCTGAGTCATTCATGAATGAGACAGATTATGGATTGGTCGTTGAATCTTTGAGTCAACCGATTCGTTCAAAATGCTGAATCATTCAGTAATGAGAACGCGTTGCTGTGAGATGCTCGATGGTTCTGCTGTGATCTTTGTTTAACTATTTTCGCTGCTGAAACAGAAAAAAAAGTCAATATTGCATCTAAAATGTAAGTGATTTGACGTGTGTGTGTGTGTGTGTGTGTGTGTGTGTGTGATTGTGTCTGTTACAGTGATTGTTTAACCCTTGTTAAAGTTTAGGCCTTGTCTTTTTGGATATATATCTTTTTATATAAAAAAAATAGCATACAACCCATATATTTTAAATGTATTGTTTGCTTTAAATTACATTGAGATTTGTATGTTTGGTAATTGAACCTGAATGAATTATAAATGAATGTGCTATATTTCAGATCATATATTTGTTTTCCTTAAAATTTGAACTAACACTAACTTTATTCTCATCTGAATGATAGATTATTTATTTCTGTATAAAATAAAAACACATTTGATTTTTCTTTTTTAATCAATGTAGAATGTGTAACTGAAAAAATAAACAGATTAGGGCTCTGATCGAGGACAATAATGTCAAAAAAAGAATCAGGGCATGTCTCATATCTTTCTAAAATGTAATTATACACCATTTATTTTTATATAAAATTATACAAATATTAGAACTAAACCCATTTTATTCCTTTTTTTCAATTTAAGAATTATTTTTAAGTTTAAAAACAGCCAGAATGGTTGTTTAGTCAAAAATAATAATAATCCAAATCATATATAGTGCTATACTGCCCTCTTGTGTTCAAAATCAGGTAGGCCTATTGAATTTATATATTTATATATTAGGGATGTTACTATGGGAATATTTTCCCACCGGTTAATCAACGTGTGATTGTGTAAACCAATTGTGTAAACCTCCCGCTGGGGGGTTTAAAAACACTAACTTGAAAGCGAAAGTATAATATGGACGTCCGCACGGACATTGAAATGGTGGCGCTCGAATGAATTCCTATGGAAGTAGAAATTAACTAAACGTTCGCTCTGTTCTGCTCGCTCGTCGCCATGGACGCGCACCATTATGAATGCCAGTGCAGCCGCATACTTTTTAGTGTCACTAAAATTAGTGCAATTTCGGGGGCCGATTGCTTGAATTGTGAGTTCAATAGTCTATTATTTTTCACGGAAAACACAACAATAAAAGAGTACAATGACAGATTCGCTTAAATAGGCGTTTTTACATAAAATAGCCTATTCCGTCATCATCTTTTCAGTCAGCTCTTCACTCTCGTGATTAATGAAATTTGACTCCTGTTGCTGATATTTGCTGCAACTTTCGTTCAGCTCACAATTTAGTAAGCAAACACGTTTCAAATGTGTTTTTATTTTATTTTTGTGTATGTGTGTGTATATGTATGTATATATATAAATATAGCTTGTTTCAAATATGAGTTAATTAACAATCGTTGGAAAGAATGATACTTTTAAACATAACACTAAACCGTCATTAGGTGTCGCCAGGCGATGACTTGATTCATTCGTTTGAACGACTGAGTCATTCATGAATGAGATAGATGTTTATGGATTGATTGGTCATTGAATCTTTGAGTCAACCGATTCGTTCAAAATGCTGAATCATTCAGTAATGAGAACGCGTTGCTGTGAGATGCGCGATGGTTCTGCTGTGATCTTTGTTTAACTATTTTCGCTGCTGAAACAGAAAAAAAGTCAATATTGCATGTAAAATGTAAGTGATTTGACTTGTGTGTGTGTGATTGTGTGTGTGATTGTGTCTGTTACAGTGATAAGAGTTTAACCCTTGTTAAACTTTAGGCCTTGTCTTTTTGGATATATATCTTTTTATATTAAAAAATAGTCATACAACCCATATATTTTAAATGTATTGTTTGCTTTAAATTACATTAAGATTGTATGTTTGGTAATTGAACCTGAATGAATTTTAAATGAATGTGCTATATTTCAGATCATATATTTGTTTTCCTTAAAATTTGAACTAACACTAACTTTATTCTCATCTGAATGATAGATTATTTATTTCTGTATAAAATAAAAACACATTTGATTTTTCTTTTTTAATCAATGTAGAATGTGTAACTGAAAAAATAAACAGATTAGGGCTCTGTTTGATGACAAGAAATGAAAACCAATGCGATATGATGAATGTCCAAAAGATGGCTCCCACAGACTGTTTTTAAATAGGATTGTTTGATATTTTTTGCTTTTAAACTGTGTGTGTGTGTGTAAGAGATTTTGGTTGGGTGACAGTTGTAGTTTACAGTTTGACAAGAGTTTATAGCTTGACAAAAGCACAATGTTGTGTTTTATTGCAAGTGTACACAAATATAAGTAAACACTTTGCAGTTTGAATAATGTCCTGTATGAACAAAAGGACGGAGTATGTTTTTATGTCTACATTGTTCAATTACGCCACACACACACACACACAAACACACACACACACACACACACACACACACACACACACACACACACACACACACACACACACACACACACAAACACTATTTTTCTAATCAGATCAGGCAAGTAATATTCTGTCTTGTCTCTTAAAAAAACAATATATATATATTTATGTATATATATATATATATATATATATATATATATATGTGTGTGTGTGTGTGTGTGTGTGTTTGTGTGTGTATATATATAAATATAGCTGCGAGCAGCGATGAAAGGGCCAAAGCCGGCGGCACCGCCACCCCGGTTATAGCGCCACCAACTGGCAGCAGGAATTCTGTCACTTTCAAAAAGCTTTGAAATCAGCTGATTGCTTCAAACTTCACTACTATGATGTAAACACACGGCAGATGTAGACCTGGATGTAGACCTGACCTTTCAGAAGGTTGCTCTCGCATACTTTGTGGTTGACATGTGCCCTCAATGCACACTTTTGCAGAGCCCACACTGATACAAGCTCTACAGCACACTTCTTTTCGACAGTCAAAGCAGGGTTACGTTTTTGCACATCGTGCACAATAACCCTAAAGGCACCAGGGTGGCGGTGCCACCGGCTTTATATATATATATATATATATAAATATAGCTGCGAGCAGCGATGAAGGGCCAAAGCCGGTGGTACCGCCACCCCGGTGCCTTTAGGTAACTAAAGGCACCGGGGTTGCGGTGCCACCGGCTTGGGCCCGTAATCGCTGCTCGCAGCTATATTTCAATTTGTTTTCTTTATAGGATTTATATTATTAATCTTATATTTATATTATTATTTTGGTCAGTAGTGAATCGATTAACTTTCTCCAACATACAAATCAAATGCCGTCTGCACACACATAAAGACACGGGAGGTTGACCGGTTGACTGTTTGTTGACTTTTGCGACAATGCTGCGGCTCTTGTGGCCTCTAGGGGCACTAGACGTGAAAATTACAGGTCGAGCGCACCCTAGTGGCCAAAAATTCCACAGTGTGCCTTTAATGAATCTGAACACGTTCTTTAACATATCATGCAAAGCTTACATACTATCTCGAGTGAATAAATGAAATATATTTTTCTGAAATGGTCTGTATGCTCTCTCCCCTCAGATCTGGGACATCCGTTCTCTGGAGTGTGTGCATGTGCTCCAGACCTCTGGAGGCAGTGTGTACTCCATTGCAGTCACCAACCACCATATAGTTTGTGGCACTTATGAGAACCTCATTCATGTAAGTATTAATGTCTACGCTTTGCAGGGCTTTACATATGAGATTAATGGTCATGGACAACCTGGAAAAGTCAGTACATTTTTAACATTGCGATTTCTTCCCATATGAACAAGGTTTGGGACATTGAGTCCAAAGAACAGGTGCGGACGCTTACGGGCCACGTGGGCACAGTGTATGCCCTAGCCGTCATCTCCACCCCTGATCAGACCAAAGTGTTTAGTGCCTCCTATGATCGCTCTCTCAGGGTAAGGAGAAGGCTTGTGTATGGGATGTGAAATGGGGGGATTCGTGAAACCTCTAATGTATTGATTTTTACCTGTGCAGGTGTGGAGCATGGACAACATGATCTGCACCCAGACTCTGCTGCGGCACCAGGGCAGTGTGACGGCGCTCGCTGTATCCAGAGGAAGACTGTTCTCTGGAGCTGTAGACAGCACAGTAAAGGTCAGAGGCTCTTACAACCAGTTTGGGGATGCAGCTTTGAAACCGTAGCTTGCCAAGTCAGACAGCATTTAAATGTAACGCTCTAAATACAACTAAAAAAATAGACTCTATAAAAAAGTAATGAATAGCAGTTTCAATATATTTTTATAAATACGTGGATTAGGGCTGTCACCAACGATTCTTTTGGTAATCGAGTAATCTGCCAATTAATCGAGTAAGCGGATAGGAAAATAGACCTATGCAAAGATTTAAGTATTTTAAATTACATATATAATAACAATGAGGCAATAATATTTTTTCAAATAAAGTATCAAAAGCAAGTAATCGTATGATTTTATAGAACACTGTTAAAATACATAATATACATATTATTAACAATCATCTTATGGACATTATGTATAAAATTTTACTCGTTTAATATTGTCCAAATGACATTTAATTCAAATGTTTACTTAATCTTTAAAATTTGTCCAATTCTTTACGAAAGAAATGCTATGCCACTGTAATTTCTTGGACATCAAAACATGCAAACTCAGGGGGGTTGAACGTTAATTTTGAAATCGCGATGAACAGTTTGCATATTTAGAAACATATTGATGTATTCTCCTGTGTTGGCGTAGGTTTGTAAATAATTTACCTTACAAATCTGATGAAATGGCACACATTGCGTTATAAGCAACCCAAACTCACAGCATATGCAGAGATGCGCATGTAAATGATAACAGATGATGTGGAGCAGCATTTACTGTGAACGAAGCCGCTCTGAGATGCATGTAACTTACACGCATGTAAATAAGTAAAGCGCATATGTATTTAATTGAATCGCAGCCTTTGTGAATTCACAATAGCACTATCCTATAGTATGGTTTTAATACGTCGTGCAGCCTTAGAAAACGGTCTAATAACGCAGTTTCAGGTATTTTTCCGGTTACTCGACACTGTTAAATTGCAATCGAGGACTTTTTAAAATCAAGGACTCAAATGTAATCGAGGAACCGTGACAGCCCTTACGTAGATTGTTGTTGTTGTTAAAGAATTAATCGGACTTGATTATTCCATCAGTATGTGCCGTTAAAAACAGCTGTTACTTTTGATGACACACTACACCATTACTCATTACTATTCCTTGAACCATTCTCTACTGGCATGAGATCTGTATATCTCTGTATATGAGCACTAACAGTGGATTCTGTTTGCTTTCCTCAGGTGTGGACATGCTAAACATGACCTCTGAGCATTATTAGTTATTATTACAAATCTCATGAAACTCAGAACCAACATGAACTCTGATGCTCAGACTTATATACGAGTATGAATAATGTTATTCAAGAGAACATTGCAACATACATTGGACGGGAAATGTTTTTATTTTTGACCCTGTGAACTCGGGTATCTGTCCCGTGTGAACTTTACAGTAAAATGTCGTCTGGGTTTATTTGCTGGATGGATGGTGCTTGTTTGCTTTCCACATACCGGATACATTTCGACAGCAAACAGAACCTCCAAACCTGCTGTCTTTATTAACACCCAGCGGAGCGCAGCCAACATGACAACACTGTATTTTATATGCACAAATAACAATATCATTTCCTATAAAAGTATGATTTAGATTTGGTAAGACTTCAACTCAATTCCAAAAGAAGCTGAATCCAGTCCAAGGTCATGTTCCCAGGAGACCACGGAAATGTTGCTGCGATGACTGTTGTTGAACTTTGTGAGTCGCAGTCTCATGACTAAGTGAGTGCCTAAGCATCAGTCTGATGCCAGTGGAGATGCATGGAGTGACCATCATCCCAGGGCTGAATGAAGACCTACACTAAACCAACTTGGGCCTGAAACAGCAGAGCATTGACAACACGGTGCCCATGTTTTTATTTCCGATTTGAAAGTGCCAACTGAACGCCCAGAACTGCTCAGATATTTTCTAACTGCCTGTTGACTGATGTGAAACCTTTGTATGACGGTGTAATGACCTACTCATCCATCATGCTTGTGTTAATAATGCAATGTTTCCTTACCAAAGGCGCAACTGCTTCATGCATGGTTCCATGTTTATCATGGAAGCCAGATTTTGCCCATACCAAGCTAATAAGACTTTTACAGTGTAATTCATGCTAGTTACTAAATCATTTTGTACAGAAAGTTCAAATGTAAGGCACTCAATTCATTATCAATGAGCATCCCAGGATAACTTTGAAGGAACAATGAGGTGAATGGAGGGGAACACAATCTTGCGTTCAGTGTGAGGTTGAGTTCCTCTCAGCTTAAAGTGACAGTTCACCCAAAAAAAAAAAAAAAAAAAAAAAAATTCATGCTGTTCCAACCTTCTATGACATTTTCTTTTATTGAATATAAATCCCCATACAATGGAAGGTAATGGGCACCAAAACTGTTTGGTTATCAAAGTTTGTCAAAATATCTTTGTTCCACAGAAGTGAGTAAATTGATTGAAATTTCATTTTTCGGTGGACTATCCCTATAATGCGAAGGGTATTAGGTAAGTCGATGCTAAATTAAGACAAAAGGCATAACAACAGCTGCTATTTTGGATATCACAGTGCCTTTTAGTGGCATGGAGCTACTCAATCCAGCTCCACACAAATAGGACAACTATGGAAGTAATGAACAGATTCCAGCAGTGTTGTTCCCAAATCCCCCCCCCCCCCCCCCCCATTAAGCTTATGACAGGATGTGATGTTAAAAATGTTCAAATGCAAACTACCATAAAAAGTTTCTTGTATAAAATACATAAGACAGATTTTTAATGCTTGTATTGAGTGTACATGAGTCTTTTATACTCAGTCGCTATCTTTAACTCACACATAACGTGCCGTTGACTCCCTCTAGTGTCCTTAATGCACATTCAGTTATATCAAATAAATCTGTGAAGGGTTGTATGGCCCTTTGGTACAAGCTTGTAATGTTTTTTATTTTTTTGGACAAGTGCTCAGTATTATATATGTGAATTAATGAAACACTATGGTGTTAAGCAATTTCCAGCTGGCCTTGTTGGTGTTCAGTAATTGGACGGCTATGAGAGTGTTTTTATATAATGTTTATTTCGAGCAGGTGGCTGTTGATGCAGTCACTGCAAGCACACCACTGTTCCCAATGCCAGTCACAGCAGGTATCATACAAGTCAATGGCAGAACATCAACACAATATACAGCCTGCACACACTGAGCAGGGCAGATTTATTTCTTCTTCTTTTTTTTTTTCTGCAAATAGGATGGAATTGAAAACAGCTTTCATTATTAAATAACATCTTGCACCAACAACAAGTCTGACTTCAGTGTTTTCAGAATTTGAATAATTTCCATTGTTTTTTTTTTGTTCTCTGGTATTAAAAAAAGAAGCAAACATGACAATAAGAAACTGACAGAAATGAGAACTTTAAAGTGGAGAAATCAAGTAAAAAAAAAAAAAGAGGATGATTTCACAGTGACAAACATCCAGCTATATACACAGAAGAAGTGAAGACAGGGTTGTAACCACTCAATTAACACTGGATCGACACCCAGTCCTTTGAAGCGATAGGCATGATAAAGCTTTTATAAAAGCCATTCCCATGCCAGACATCTGCACTTTGTCCACAGAGCTGACCACAACAAAGAGGGATATAATTCTGAACATCTGGTGGACAAAAGCTGAGACCGGCCACATATCACATTGTTCAAACATGAAAGACAAAATAAAAAGAACTAAAGCAAGGCACATACATGTTTTAAAAAAACGTAACATTGCATAATATACAACTTATTTCATCTGAAGACATGGCAGTCAAAAAACTTGTCACAAAAAAGTTACCTTAAAAAAGAAAACTGGAGTTCTAAAAAAATGACCATTTACAATTCATTTAAAACCCTTTGAGCCAAGAAGACACTTTTGTCTCAAATATTAGCAGTTTCATCAACAAGCCCTCTTGATGCTGCATCATTAAATACTTTGTGAAAACATCTATAATAATCTCTGTTAATAACTTAAATATTACAAATATTCTTTTTTTTTTTTTTTTGAGAACCGGGGAAGGGATTAAGCATATGGAGCTACTGAAAGTGTGTAAAGCATTGTGGGACCTACACAACTATTTTTCTTGCTCATGTTCCCCTTCTTTCTTAAATTGCATTTAAGATCATTTTGATACTGTGACGATTCTAATAATGAGCAGACAGATTGTCATGGCAACAAATATGGTTAAGTAATGGGAGACTGAGTTTGCTGGCAATGAGATAATGACATTCAGAGGCTTGCAAGAGGTTTGGTGCTGTCATAACAGCAAACTGCCCTCACCATGAATGAGTGAACATGGCATCTGGAAACATCTCATGTCCACAGAGACCAAACTGTAAAAGCATCACTCATTCTACCCTCAATATGTCCCTGTAAAAGTCACCTAATGTGAGTCTCAGTGAATATGTTTAACCTACTGCTATGTTTTTCAGAATAAGTTATGGACCCAAGCTTAATTTGCATCTTGGACTAGCGCTATAACTTTGGTCATTAAGGAAATGTCTGTCTGGATGATACTGGGGGGAATGCAATACAAAGCAGGCACACCATGGTACATTCACACCCTTAAACAGCCACTGCGCAATGTGCTGAGTTTAGACTGCATGCAGGCTTCCAGTGGAAACACACCTGTCCAAGCTCACTGACCAGTGAGCATCAAGCTACAATAATGTTTGCAAAATCCTTGTTAGTTCACTACACTGTCAGTCCATAACACCTTACATGCATGTTTCTTTTCGATTGCTGTTTTATGCCACTCACAAACACACACATTTGCAACTTTCTCACTTTGTGCTTCCTGATGTCCCACCTTCCAAAAACCCCAACCATCACTGGACCTGTGTACCTCGCCTGTGTTTCTCAGGTCACTCATGTAGTAAAAGTCAACATGACTCTATTTACTTTCTTAATGCACAATCCTGGTCTTGTGAACAATTCATTGACACTTTATTCCTAAGTCTTAATCTTCACTTAGGGCGCGCAGGCTATTTCATAATGCTAATCAATAGCTAAATAGCTATTTTGGTATCCAGTACCTACTTTAAATTGCCAAAGAACAGAATCAAGTCCCATTGTACATTTTCTAGCATTTTCTGTATGGCCTGGAAATGCATTACATCATGGAAGTAAAATGGCTATTCACTTTGACTTCAAGGCCTACACTGTGTATCCCCTTTCTGCAGATGACTAAAGCATAGAGATGTCCAAGGATGAGGCCATGCCTCGCCAAATCAGAGCACACAGGCCCCTCCCTTCCCACAAGGCAATGCCTCTCACATGGACATCGGGCCTATCTCAGCTTGAACCTGTTTGCTTGTGTGTTAGCAGCACTGAGGTCACCTCTCACGTTAAGGCACACAGGACACTGCACATGATGAGGGCAAAGAAAAAGAGGGAAGGTGAAGGAAGAAGGCTGTGCAGGAGCAGGAATGTATGAGTTCACACAGGGAAAAAGTATATGGAAACATAAAGGGTCACAGCAGCAGCACAGAGCGGGAGCCCAGAGCAAGCACAGAGCAGGGGGTGAAACAGCCACTTCAGTCACTACATTCAACACAGCCCACAACACTCTTCAGCAGAGCACAGCCAAACATACAAGATGTTTAAGCCAGCCTTATTTTTTGTTTTGTTTTAAAACTTCATTATAGTCATAGAAAAATCCACATATCTGTCATCAAACTTTATAGATTTCTTAATGTTTCAACACTGTATGTACCATTGAACATGAAATAAAAACATAAAATATTTATATTTATATATATATATATAACTGTACTAATGCATGACTCTCACTATGAGATTTTTTTCTTTATAGATACAAACTTTCCTCATGCTTACAATGTACACATACCATACTATTATTTCATATACAATTATTGTTTTCATATTATTATTTTACTACTCATTGCTCATGGTAGATAGAGATATTCCATGGACAGAGAGTTGAGCTTCAAAACCCAACCTCTGCCTCTCCACCCTCTGCTCTGTCTTTGATGTTTAAAGCCCTGGATGGCCTTCTGCCCAGTCCTGAGGTACATCAACTCGGGTTTGTGCAAAACCAACTCGGAGGGAGAGAGGAGAGACGGGTGTTTCATGACAATGGGAAAGGAGCAGGAGAATAGGGGGTGAGAGGAGCAAGGGATGAGGACTAGAAAGGGGTAGGTGGGTATGTTGTTGGTCATTGTGCCCTTGTGCTCTCCCGGGGTCCTGAGGTTGTGCCACAGAGACACATGCTGTGCTCTTCACTCCAGCATGGCATCCAGCTGATCGGCCAGGTCATCGAACATGCTGCCAATGTCGTCTAGGATGCTCACTGTGCTCTTGTTTTCAGTCATTGAGCTGTGAATCAAAACAGACTTAAATATCTTTTAAAAATAAGAAAAAATGTAGCTGCAAGCAACAGTTGTGGGGTCAAAAAAGTCACATGCAAATTCAAAAGTCGAATAGATTTATTTGGTCAACACACCCCCAGTGGTGAATTTAAAAGAGAATAAATTCAAAAGCTATAAACAGATCTGCCTTTAGTTATCAAATTTGATCAGTTGATGTCGCTGTCACTAAAGGTAGGTGGTTTCCTCGCGGAGTCTCAATGATAGACTGCGTCAATACACAGAAGCCTTGCCAATATAAAGCCTCTTCAACTGTTCTGCTTTTTCATGTTTAAATTGGCTAACATGCTACAGGCAGTTTTGAAAAGAAAAATAATTAATTACTATAGAATTTTGGTACTCGCTGTATTTAGCACGATTTAGCAAAACTGCTTGAAGTCTGTTTCTTAATAACCACAGATGTAGACTCAAAACTGCTGAATAGATTTGAAGGACTTGAATTATATTTGTAACTACTTGAAAAGAAATATTAACCTCAGACTAGATGCCATAATAGACTAGATTCCTACTGGTCTGTTATGTCACTGATATCATACAATTTTTGCATGTTTCATGACACTCACTCTCTTTGCCCATCCTCCTTGATCTTCTCTTCTACTGCCAGCAGGGCCGCAGCCAGTGAGGCACTGGTCTCCTCTATCTTCTGGTGCATTGCATCTGCTGTCACTACCCCTGCGACACATGCTGATCCAGTTGAACTGTCCATGGAT